GACAGAGTGGACATTAAATCACTCTATGTCAAATATTGTGGTTATGATTGTATTCTTGGGTGATAATTTCTATGGGTTGACATTACTATATTAAGAGGCCTATATTTTTCCCTCGTCCTTACTCGAGGTTTATAAAACTTAACAAGGGATCCTCCATCACTCAGTTGCAGATATGTATTAAGGAAAGATCCGAGCTGTGTGCTCCACCTCATTTAATTTCTTGTGTGGCTAGACGACATACCCGCATTCACTTCTGTACCGGAACTGGGAATATTAAACATGAACCAGTACCACATCTACCGGATGCGCAAAGCGCTAACATATTTTGTTGTGTGGTTCTTAACGCTTTCGCGACTTCGCTTAGATATCAAGTCGGCGAACAGTATTTGACAAAAGGGAGGACACCATTTGTGCAGAGAATACATGACCTTACTTTGCTAATTTTTTCACATTGTTCCTGGTTAGGGGAAAATTCCTCGTGTGCCTTTGCAGGAACCCTCACCTTTACTCCGGCTGACCCTTTTCATGCACACTGAGGAGCATAGCTGTATTTTCTTCAGAAATGTGTCCTCTTCATAGTCACAGAGAGGAGGCCTGATTCAGCAAGTTACGAGTCGAGTAGGTCGAGTAGAACAAACCTAGCAACCGTCTTGAAATGGAGCCTTATGAAAAACTGCTGATAAGTAATATTCCGGGAGACCTAGTGACACGAATACATGCAGACATTTTTGGCCAGACGTATAGGAAGAATAAATTTTAGTCAGCATTTAAATCGACCAAATAGATCTTGAAATAATTATACGATTGGTGTTCTGTCCTGCTAAACAAACCCAAAAGAGTTGTTTATATTTTTTAGCCTTTCGGTATTCAATACCCGTTTTTTTAATAGACGCACCCGAAGTCAAAAAAACTATGCCAAAAGACAGTTGGAGTAGCTCGGGTATCCTCCGTGGTCCTAGAGAAATAAACGGTAATATTTACACGGCGCGATAGGTAAAAACGGCAAAGCTAAAACTAAAAGGGAGTGAACATACATTTGAGATGATTAGACGAACAGTCGCACGAATGACGTAGACGCTTAACTGCCAGTTTATAAGCGAATAAGGACAAAGGCAGGGAAAAAGGAACGAGGGAGACGACAAATTTGGATGCAGCAAACGAGACCAGGGGGCACTGGACATGATGAATCGATAAATGACTAGGCGGAAATAAGGACGTGTTTCGGCCAATTCGGAGACCTTAAAAGCAAAATAGTGAAAGTCATGGACGTGGAAATAAGTGCTTAATAGGCAGGTAGTAATATCAGCAATAGTAAGTGTTATATTGGGCGTACCCTAACTGGTTTTTCGAGCTGCAAGTAGAGCATGGAACTTACAAATGGGCAAGCGATGAAAAAATATTTGTTAAGTAGCGGAGCCGTCGCGGATGCCTAATTTTAACGATCTCAAAGATATGATTAATTAAGATTGTTAGGTAAAAACTGTTGTTTAGGCGACAAAAATGGTTGGAAACGTTAGGTAACTGGTCCGACTTACGTGGTGTACGTCCATTCGAAATAATATTACACTGAGATGAGGTTAATCGTGCCCTCAGAAGTCAAACCACGATAACTACTCGTGTACGTCATCTCACAGAATAAGGGTGACAAACGAAGCAGTTGATGTTATTTTCAAATGGACGGATAAAGTTTTGGTCCACAGCTCTTTTAGCGTCCTTTTAAAATTATTTAGTCTGCTAGAAAGCACACGAGTAATAGCGGTGTCAAATAAAATAGACTGAAGTCCTCTGCAGGATACGAACTTCAAACGTCTGTCGGTTACACCCTGACAGGAAAGTGAACATTCTAATAAAATAGCCGTTCGACTTTACTGCAAAGCATTTGCGTGCGTCCCACCTATTTTTTGCTTGCGTATGGCAAGCAGGTTCTAGATAGCACCTCGTCGTTGGTTGTGAGCACAATGTGTCCTTGGAACCTGAGTTTCTGTAGGAAGCTACTCGCTTTGTCGACTTCCTATTTTGGAGCGAGGTTGACGAACGTCTAGCCTTTCAGAACGGTATGGTACAAACACACGCACTTCTTCAATGAGAATAACTCTAATGTGCCATTTAATTTAGTAAAGTTTAACCCTGTTTTCTATCTCGTTTTGGTAGTTTGAGATATTAGTTAAGCGCACAAATGGTTCGTGATATTGCGGTGCGCCAGGATGGACCACAACGTTTTCGTATTAAGTTACATCCGGTCGATGGATGGATAAATTCGCAGTGGCCTGAAGCCATTCATCTCCCGATGGCAAGAATCTGACGGTGGTCAGAGCGTTCCTTTGTTGATTGGCTGCCGCATTTTATGCCAAATCTATTATCATAACGGACTGTGGCGCACAGTGCAAATCTCGCTTCGTCCAGTTTCTCTTGTCCGTTTCAGACGGTTTGCATATCCGAACCACATCCTATTGTCAAGGTGGTGGCAAGGTTTTTAAACCACCGGCTGAAGACCTCCATTTGTGCTGTAGAAAACAAACCACTTTCCTGTAGTTCTTTTCACATTCGCTCAATTCTCCAATTAAACACTCTTCGTTCCACTGTTAAGTGATGTTTAGAGCGCTGGTCCGACTCACAGTTGTAATGATTTTCCTTACTCCTGACTGCATGGACCAGGATCCGGTCAACATCGTGCA